TTAGTGCCTACAGTGTCTTTATATGATATATCCTGGTTAACGGAATCTACATTGACATTTTTACGATTTTATCTCTTTTAGTGGTGTCATATTCTAATTATAGTGGTGTCTTGAGTATTAAAAATAAGTAAAAATAAATAAAAATATGTATAAAGTAAGCAATCTAGTGGTGCTCTATGACACTGCTAAAGACCTTATGGATCTGCTACAGGATGATCGCACTTTCTCAAAGGGGATTTGTTCTGATGTCATTTGTTGGAAAATTTTAAATTCAACAAATAGTCAAGTGTGATCTTAAACAAAGGTAATAATAACTGAAAGTAACTTATAAGCTTAGACAGTTACATAATGACCATAAGTTTCTATTTAGATATATTACATTTTCTTTTTTATTTTTATAGGGTATTAGCTCTTAAGTACCTTACAATTTCCCCATTTTTCACTTATAAACCCTCACTTGTTTTTAAAATTGATACTTTAATGTCTTTTATAGTGCAAACATGAGAATATTTTTCTGAATATTCCCATGTGACACATACATATTGAGAACTCTTTAAATTTTAACGTCTACAAATTTTAGAACTCTTTTAGAAGCTTATCTTAATTCTTTAAAATAGAATCGAGGTAAATTTAGAATAGATTCTGAGCATGTCTAATAGTAAATTCCACAAACATTAAAAGTTAGAAGTTCTAAAATTAGCTTGTGAACATCACATGAGAAAATTCACGGGAAGTATATTTATATAATAAAAAGAAGGGAAAAATGTGTCCAGGCGTCAAAAACAGTAACTTCATGTGCTGCAGCCCCTCCTAGTTTCCCTCATGTGATTCAGCCCCTTTGAAGTGTGACACTTTATGTTGCAGCCCCTTTTTAGCAATTATTACATGCCAGCTAAGCTAAAATCCCCAAAATAACTTTATCCCCACTCTTCAATCCCTCAAACCCAGCTCTCTCATCTCCCCTCTCTCTCTCTCTCTCTCTCTCTAAAACCAAGGGCTTTCTCAAGCTCGTCGCCCTGGCCCTCACCCTCCTCGTCGTCGCTGTCTCCGCCCAGGCGCCTAAGCCTCACCCTCGAGTTTGCCGCCACCTCCCCTCCTTTCCTCCGCCCGACCTCATCGTCGTGAATTTGTCCCCGCCCCCCCCCCTCTCCTCCGCCCGACCTCGTCTTCGTAGCTTGCCGCCGCTCCCCGCCTCGCCCTCGACCACGCCAGAGTTAGCTGTTGCCGCTCTCCGCCTCGCCCTCGAGTAAGTGAAGATGTCCTTTATACTTACCTTACATTCATTAATTTCAGAAAAATGTGACAGTTAGTTTTAGTTTTATCTAGCAGGCGAACGTGTATTCTGGGTTGCATGAAAAGCTTATATTACAGCAAAGAGCGATGTCACCTCTAATGAAGTATTTTATGCATCCCACAATGGGCCTATTATGTTTGCTAGATATGAGAGGAAAATCATGGAGTTTAATTAAGTATTCAGTTCATTTATTTCTCATGTGTGACTTAGCCTTGTGTCAAAAAAGCAAGGGCTCACGGAAGTCTCGTGATTTACATAAATCAAAATTGTATTTTTATGTTGAGGCTTGTGGACGTAATGGAAGGTTTTGAAATCAAAGAAGAAAGTGAATGATATGGCTAGTTTTGACTTCAAATATAATGTTAGTTCTAACCCGCCACATGTTAGTTCTAACCCGCCACATATTAGTTCTAGCCCGTCCCAATTCTAGTTCTAGCTAGTTCTAGCTCTAATTCATCTTAGTTCTTAGCTCTAATTCATCTTAGTTCTAGGCTCTTGGGCTCTCAAGTTAGTTCTAACTTGCCCCATGTTAGTTCTAACCCGCCCCATGTTAGTTCTAGCCCGTCTCATGTTAGTTCTAGCTAGTTATAGCTCTAATTCATCTTAGTTCTAGGCTCTTGAGCTCTCAAGTTAGTTCTAACTTGCCCCATGTTAGTTCTAACCCGCCCCATGTTAGTTCTAGCTCGTCCAATGTTAGTTCTAGATAGTTCTAGCTCTAATTCATCTTAGTTCTAGGCTCTTAGGCTCTCAAGTTAGTTCTAACTTGCCCCATGTTAATTCTAACCCGCCTCATGTTAGTTTTAGCCCGCCCCATGTAAGTTCTAGCTAGTTCTACCTCTAATTCATCTTATTTCTAGGCTCTTGGACTCTCAAGTTAGTTCTAACTTGCCCCATGTTAGTTCTAACCCGCGCCATGTTAGTTCTAACACGCCCCATGTTAGTTCTAGCCCGCCCCATGTTAGTTCTAACTAGTTCTAGCTCTAATTCATCTTAGTTCTAGGCTCTTGGGAACGGAGAAAAGCTTCTTCCACCTCCGACGGAGCCCACCGAGACACCCTGACGACCCTGACAACCTCCTCCCACCTCTGACAAGCCCGGATAGCGGTGAAAAGCTCCGAACAGGGAAGAACAAACCTGAACGACGAGAAATTGTACTGCAAAAAATTGTAGTTTTGTGTCGACTTCGTACGCACTTTTCGATCACCTTCAATCTATGTTTCCGTTGATTTTTTTCTTTGGTGAGTAGCCCTACATGTTGCCTATCACCTCTAATTTGTATCACGCTCTAACTCATTCTCTATCTCTCTCGGTAATGTCCGAAACATCGCTCGACGGCAGTAACGAGCAAAAAACAGCAGCGTTGTGCTGATTTCGCGCGGGTTTTTCGGCCACCTCTGGTCTCCGTTTTCACCACCGTCCTTACCGGTGTTTAGCCCTTTATATTGTCTATTACATGGTATCTTCTTTTCACTTGGGCTCATTTTCTACCTCTTGTTATATCGCTTCGAATATTGTGAATCGTTCCTTCATCATCTCAACCTCTGAGAGAAGTGAAAGGAAGATACCGTGTGAACTATCTAGAACTAACTTGAGAACCCATGTTAGTTCTAGCTCGTCCCATGTTAGTTCTAGCTCTAATTTATCTTAGTTCTAGGTTCTTGGGCTCTCAAGTTAGTTCTAACTTTCCCCATGATAGTTCTAACCCGCCCCATGTTAGTTCTAACCCGCCCCATGTTAGTTCTAGCTAGTTCTAACTCTAATTCATCTTAGTTCTAGGTTCTTAGGCTCTCAAGTTAGTTCTAACTTGCCCCATATTAGTTTTAACCCGCCACATGTTAGTTCTAACACGTCCTATGTTAGTTCTACATAGTTCTAGCTCTAATTCATCTTAGTTCTAGGCTCTTTGGCTCTCATGTTAGTTCTAACTTGCCCCATTTTAGTTCTAACCCGTCTCATGTTAGTTCTATCCCGCCCCATGTAAGTTCTAGCTAGTTTTAGCTCTAATTCATCTTAGTTCTAGTCTCTTGGGCTCTCAAGTTAGTTCTAACTTGCCCAATGTTAGTTCTAAACCGCCTGATGTTAGTTCTAGCCCGCTCCATGTTTGCTCTAACTAGTTCTAGCTCTAATTCATCTTAGTTCTAGGCTCTTGGGAATGGAGAAAAACTCCTCCCACCTCCGGCGGAGCCCACCGAGACACCCTGACAACCTCGACAACCTCCTCCCACCTCCAGCAATCTCGGACAGCGGCGAAAAGCTCTGAACAGCGAAGAACAAACCCGAACGGTGAGAAATTACACTGCAGAAAACTACAGTTTTGTGCCGACTTCGCACGCATTTTCCAATCACCTCCAATCTCTGTTTCCGCCGATTTTTTCTTTGATGAGTAGCCCTACATGTTGCCTATCACCTCCAATTTGTATCACGCTCTAACCCATTCTCTATCTCTCTCGGTAACATCTGAAACATCGTTCGACGGCAGCAGCGAGCAGAAAATAGCAGCGCCGTGCCGACTTCGCGCGCGTTTTTCGGCCACCTCCGGTCTTCGTTTTCACCACCGTCTTCGCCGGTGTATAGCCCTTTATATTGTCTATCACACGGTATCTTCCTTTAACTTAGGCTTATTTTTTATCTCTCGTTATATCACTTCGAATATTGTGAATCGTTCATTCATCATCTCAACCTCTGAGAGAAGTACAACAACGAATCGATTAAAAGCTGAGCTCTACCGGTCGTGGATGTAGTGGCAACGTGTCTTGCCCATGGTGTGTGCTCCTGTAGTTGTAGTTGATTGGTTTAGTTTGCAAATTGTGTTCATAATTATACTGTACACGTTTGTTTTGGCAGCGCAATAGTTTCTAGGAGGGGGAGGGGGTAGGGCGACAATCTACGGCGACGAGGATGGGCGGAGGAAAACTCTTAGTTTTAGAGAGAGAGAGAGAGAGAGAGAGAGAGAGAGAGAGAGAGAGAGAGAGGAGATGAGTGTTGGGTCTGAGGGATTAAGGAGAAAAGATAAGGATAATTTGGGGATTTTAGCTTAGTTGGCATGTAATAATTGCTAAAAAGGAGCTGCAGCACAAAGTGTCACACTTCAAGGGGCTGATCGACATGGGGGAAACTATGAGGGGCCTCGTCACATGAAGTTTCTTCTTTCGAGGCCTGGATACATTTTTCCCTAAGAAGAATTAAAATGTCAATTTTAAAGTTTAGGGTATTTAAGTGTTGTTAGAAATAACTGAGGATATACAAGTGCAAAGTAAAGGATATAAGGTACGTAAGTGCTAATTAACCATCTTTATATGAGGCCATATTGTATACATGGAGTATCGACATGATTTAGATTGTTGAAGCAGCACTTACATGGAAAATGGCTAGCTGCCCATCATGTGTCCTGGTTACCTAATTAATCAAGTATGGGGTTTGGACTAATTATCACATGCATGCCAGCATGCACTAGTCCTTGCAAGAATCACTATTAGCCGACAAGCTCTTAGCTGATGTAGATAGTATAATACCCATCAATTTAGCTATAAATTGTGGGAAACATTTATTTCAGTTCTAAGGTTTTATAGTTAAGACTTCCAAGAGAAGAAGCATTAATGTTTAATTGAAGAAAGAAGAATTAATTTTTGGCAATCTAACATCATGACATATGATACTTGAGAATTGGAAAGAGTATACATAAAGTATAGATAAAGAGCAGACTGGATTGTAAAAAATTTGGGACACTGACAGCAGAATTTTATTGATTTTTGAAAAACACAAGTAGTTACAAACTACATTGATAAATCAGCAATTTTTGTATTTCTGTATAAAATTTTAGTAGCAAACATTTGTATGAAACAATTTTTTGCTATTGGAAAATTAAACATGATATTTGAGCACATCTCCTCTACAAAGGATGTTACCTCTTTTGAAGCCAAAACTTGGTTACAAGTAGGCATTTGATACTCTTCAGTTTCAGAATCTCCTTGATTTCTGTTTCAAACCAGTACAGTGTCATCGCACTTCCTTCTATATATCGTCAAACTGAGCATCACTCTCTGCTCCTGTCAACGTTCAACAGCTTTCAAGATGAAGACATGATGATCTTAGGATTTGAAGCAAAATGATCAAAATTCAAGTTTATGTTATCAGAAAGCAAGGATGTTATAGAAGTGCACTGAAATCTCCACACGAGCACTGGCCGTCCCTGAATCTGTGGAGCCTCTTACTGTCGCGAACCACAATTTCTCTTCCAGTCAGCAAAGAGAAGAATTTAACACAGCTATGACAATCCCTACACATTGTGATGTTCTTCACAACTCTCACCGGTGCCCCTTCTGGCAAATTCAATAGCCCAAAAGCCACTGCAACTCTCTCACTATGATGAAGAGCAGATCCAGACGCCTTCTCTTCCTCATCTGATGACATATCGATGCTCTTATAAGGAACATATCCTAATCCTTTAGCTCTCTCGATCAAACTCTCCAAAAGTATGTATATTTCGTTACTCTGAGAGTGTGATCTATCATCTGCTCGAAAGAAATGGACCTTATCTTTGACTGTGACCCAGCTTCGATCTCTCAAAGTTCCAATGTTCTCCTCTTTCATCACTTTCCTCACCTTTGCAACGTCTAGCCACCTCTCTGCTGATATATACATGTTCAATAGCAAAACATAGGTCTCAATAGATTTTGGCCTGAGCTTTAATAATTGTTCAGCTGCATAAAATCCCAAATCCAAATTTCCATGGCTCCTGCACCCGGCGACCAAAATAGACCAAATTATCTCATTTGGCTCGAAACCTATCTTGTTTATGAACTCAAATGCATCCTCTAACTTACCCAATCTCACAAACATATCGACTATACAAGCAAAATGATCCAACACGGGCTTAATCCTATACTCATTAATCATCATTTCGAAGTAATAATTAGCTTCTTGAACCAATCCAGCATGGCTACAAGCCGAGAGGACACCGACGAAGGTAACTTGATTAGGTTTAACTCCAGCTAGTCTCATGTCCTCGAAGAGCTCTATTGCTTCTCTGAACCGTCCATGCTGAGAAAAGCCCGTGATCATAGAAGTCCACGAGATTAAAGTCCTATTTGGCATCTCGATAAAGGCCTTGCTTGCATTTTCAATACACCCACATTTATTATACATGTTCACCAATGCACTACTTAGCACAACATCAGATAAATATCCACTCTTTAGAGCTTGTGCATGTATCTGCTCCCCTTGTTCTAAAGCAACTAAGCTGCTGCAGACACTTAGGATGCTTGAGAGACTGAAAAAGTCTGGCTTGGTGCCGGATCGAGTTAGCTTTAGGAACAGGTTAAGGGCTTCTAGCCCGTTCTGACGAGCAGCAGCATCGTCGTTAGCAAGAGCCATGATTTGAGCATGCCCTGCCATCATTGCATTCCAAGTGATGAGGCTGACAGTCTCCATCCCTTCGAACAATATCATGGCTTCATCAAGCTTGCCACACTTGAGGTACAAGTACATGATTGAGTTCCTGACTGGGAGATGGGATTCACACCCAAATTTGATGCAAAAGGAATGGACCTGCCTAAAGATTTTCTTTAGAATATTAATCCCAAAAGCACTAAAGCTAGTAAAGCAGCCGGTCTAAATTGTAGAAAACAATACGTTCTTGTACCAATGAAAAAAAATGGTTTTTAATTTCATTAATTGTTTGAAATAAATTCATAATTCCAAAACGTTACTAAATCGAAGGTTAATAGGTAATGGCGTTCAACAAATATTAGGATTGGCAAACACAGTTTAACTTGGACGAAGTAGAATCACAGTCTAGCAGGAGCTTAGTAATTAATTTACTATCAGGACTAAACTCTAGTTCAAAACATACAGTTTTCAACTTTAATTGACTCCTCAAAACTGGCATAAACATAAATTTAGCAAACCTCTAGTTTAAATGAAAGTATCATTATCCCAAGTTTTTTCTTACAATTATTTTCTAGATGGTTAATCTTTTCATACTTAATGGCGAAGTCTGATCCAACCTCACTAGTTTTTTTGTTCAGTCTCATATTGTGTGCATGTCAATCCTACTTGATAGTTTGAATGCTAAAATGAACATGAACTACATTCAAACCACACACATTTATTTAACCTCTCTTCATAGCCTACTTAATCCTTGAAATAAATTCTTAGAAATCAAGAATATACCTGCTTCCCTAGACAAAGGTCAGGCGCTACACAACATAGGCTCATCGCGCTCGTCAAAGTGTACTCATTTGGCTGCACATTCTCCACCAGCATATCTGCAAACATCCTCAAGCCCAACTCAGCATTACCATTATCCCCACAAGCCGACACAATCGTCGTCCAAGAAATCACATTCTTATCCTCAATCCTCTGAAAAGCCTTAACTGCCAATTTCAACCTTCCACATTTTGAGTACAAGCTACACAAAGAATTCCCAATGCTAGTATCCAACTCAAGCCCATACTTCACTAGATACCCATGGACTTGTTCGCCAAAATCAACCTCGCGGAGCGAAGAACAAGCACTCAAAACCGATCCAAGAGTGTAATTAGTAGGGTAACACCCTGTTTGTAACAATTCAACAAACAACTCAATACCAGATTCAGGTTTCGAATTATGAACATAGCCGGTGATCAGAGAGGTCCAAGTGACAACATTTCTCTCAGGAATTTCATCAAACAATTTTTGTGCATGGATGTCGGCACCACACTTCATATATGCATTGATGAGTGAAGTTGAAATGAATACATCCTGAGAGGTTCCAGTCTTGAGAGGACTAACATGGAATTCCAAGATTTGAGAGACTAATATGAAATTATTGAAGATTTGAGGGATTAATATGTAAAAAATCCGTGATTGCAATTACGTTGTCAAAGCCCTTGTCCGAGTACAAAAAACATTTTTTTTTTCTCTATATATATATATACTTCATTGCTAAAAGTGGCTTTCATCCCATTTCCAAGCTCAAAAGCTAGGAAAATGGATTCCAAAGAAAAGTCTCATTTTGGGTGAACATTTCTATAGATTTATGCCCCTTCAAACAAAACAAACAAAAAGAAGAAGAAGAAGAAGATATTATAAGAAATTATTAACATGGCGGGACCAGAGGCGTGGCTGACAATTTGGGGGCCCGGTTCTAAATTTCAATTGGGGCCTCTTAATTAGAGGTGTTATCAGATTTTCACTAGTTATCTTGTTCAGTCTCATATTGTGTGTATGTCAATCCTACTTGATAGTTGCATGCTAAAATGAACATGAACTACATTCAACCCATGCACCTTTATTTAACCTCTCTTCATAGCCTACTAAATCCTTGAAATAAATTCTTAGAAATCAAGAATATACCTGCTTCCCTAGACAAAGGTCAGGCGCCACACAACATAGGCTCATCGCACTTGTCAAAGTGAACTCATTTGGTTGCACATTCTCCACCAACATATCTGCAAACATCCTCAAGCCCAACTCAGCATTATCATTATCCCCACAAGCCAACACAATTGTCGTCCAAGAAATCACATTCTTATCCTCAATCCTCTGAAAAGCCTTAGCTGCCAATTTCAACCTTCCACATTTTGAGTACAAGCCACACAAAGAATTCCCAATGCTAGTATCCAACTCAAGCCCATACTTCACTAGATACCCATGGACTTGTTCGCCAAAATCAACCTCGCGGAGCGAAGAACAAGCACTCAAAACCGATCCAAGAGTGTAATTAGTAGGGTAACACCCTGTTTGTAACAATTCAACAAACAACTCAATACCAGATTCAGGTTTCGAATTATGAACATAGCCGGTGATCAGAGAGGTCCAAGTGACAACATTTCTCTCAGGAATTTCATCAAACAATTTTTGTGCATGGATGTCGGCACCACACTTCATATATGCATTGATGAGTGAAGTTGAAATGAATACATCTCGATAGGTTCCAGTTTTGAGAATGTGGGCATGGAGGGATTGAGCCATCGGAAGCGACCCGAGCGCGGTGCATTGTTGAAGGAGAGGCACATAGGAGGAAGTTTCGACGTGGGCTTCTTCTGGTTCATCCCTGGGTGCTGCTGGAGTTCTCTGGGAGCAATAAGGATTGGATTGCGGAGAGTTAGGGGGGGTGGGTAGTGAAAAAGATTGAAAGCGGGGAGTTTTGTAGTTACCTTGTCAATGGATAGAGAGTTTGAGGAGAGCTTTCTGAGGTCTGGTTCGAGCTTGGGGAGAGTGCCAGTGAGAGCATGTGAAGGGAGAGATGCCATGAGATGGAGATGTTACATTATGGGAGTTTTTAATTTGAGTTCGAGGTTTGTAGGAGGCCTATCTTTATTGTGGTTTTTGAGTTTCATCCATATGAATGGGATGTGATATTTGTGGTGTGGATTGTGCGTCCAAAATCTAATCATGGGTACTGCGGTTTTTTTTTCCTTCTCTTTGATACCCTAAAATTTCAAACTTTTTTTTAAAAAAAAAATCTAGAGTCATGAAGTTCTAGTTTAACAATGACACCTAAAAGTGCGAAAACATTGATGTTGATTTTGTTCAAGAATATCGACATAAAAAATTGAACCACAAGCAAATTTTCTTACCAAATTAAATGAAAAACAAATCTAGGATGTTGGGGTTTCAAATTGTCAAATTGAACTTTCTTTAAAAACCTCTTGAGTATCAAATTGTCAAAATAAAATTTTAGGTGTCAAGTAACTATGAGATGTTGAAGTGCAAGTAACAAAAAAACAAAATACATCTTTTTTGTCTACAATAATTGGTGTTAATATTCACCTTCGAATTTCATAGTTATGCATACTTATTAGCAAGAAATGTGAGTTCTCATGTGGCTCTTTGTGACTCCGATACGTCAGGATCCTGGGAAGCTAGTCGCGGATGAGAGTTATTGAGTCATACACTATCTATGATGTTAAAGCCGGAAATAAGAGGAGTTGTACTGTACATGAGAGTCGATCTAGGTGGTCCCTAAGTCACTAATGACTTGAATGTTGCATGGTCTTGCGTACATGATCAGACACTCAATGATAGGCTAAGTCAAGACCATAGAAAAATCTCTCTAATACTCAATCAATTATTATTAAAGGAAAACAAGCTATATGCAAGAGGATTTGGACTTGGAAAGATAAATAGAATGGCATTGAAGTAAAGGGGGTTAGGGCTTCCTCCTCTTTCTTTTCCATCTTAGAGTCCTCCCTCTAGAAGAACATGATTGTGCACTAGAGAATGAAAGTCAAAGAAAGATAAATACAGGGTTGCGTTCTGTACAATAGAATTCAAGGCTTTCTTTAGGAGCATTAGCTGCTAATTTTTCTATTTTGCAAATCTACTTTTGACCTTACCTCCATTTTTCAGGAGGCTTAGGGTATTTTTTATCTAAGAGTGATGCGATTGATGTGCCTTGATAGAATCTAGTGACGTTTGTCCTTTTTTAAGGAACCTTTATCAATGGTGATGAGAAAAAGGCATGGACGAGTCATCTAATAACTGATGCGTTCAATAGGATATTAATCATCACATTTTATCATATTTTTAAACCTTTATTATCTATTTTATTTGAATGAATATATCACTAATAGCATGCCTTATCATACTTTGCAGGCTAATGAAGAGTTAATGAATAAGAACCAAAAGAGTCAATTTTTTTTGTTTTTTACCATTTATTGAAGCCGAATATGAAGATAAAAGGAATCCTTAAGAAGCCCAAGGAACTAAGGAGAAATCGGGTTAAGAAGTCAATAAAAACTACTATTCAGTTACAAAATAATCGATTGACCAACTAATTGACCAATCGGTCTTGTTGGATATCTTGCCCCCAAGATAAAATTTTGATAATAATAATTTATTTATTATGTATATTATATATGCACTAACATATCAATATAGATAACAATATCTGATATGCACAAGATATGTGAACTAAGTGCATGGTTGAGTTCAATGCAACAAGACAAGCAAAGAAGAATATGTGCGTAATTGTCAAATTGTATTTTATTTTCTTTGTTTAGATTCTTGTAAAATCCTTGATCACTCACAACACATACACGCACATAGTATTTAGAACACACTAACACATGCTTAGTGTGTGATTAACTATAGAAATCCCTTAAGTTAACTATTAGAGTTTATATATATAGAGTGAGTCTCAAAATATATCAAATATCTCATATCTATGTATCTGTAGTCGACTAATACCCTTATTAGTCAACTATAAAAGCCTTAGTCAAAGTTATAGAAACATTATATTTACAGATTAGTCGACTACTATGCTTAAAAGTCGACTACTCATTCTCAGTTTAACTTACATAAACTTAAGTTTTACAGATTAGTCAACTACTACCTTAAGTAGTCGACTACTAACCATGTTTCTTGACTTCACAGAGTCTGAATAGACTCAGCGTAGTCGACTACAAAGCTTAGTAGTCGACTACAAAGACAGTTTTTCTAACTATTCTGAATTTAAATAAGTGAACGTTTATAGCCGTTTTAAACGTTAATTGGTTTAAAATTTAAATATTTCGGAGGCTATAAACAAGTTTTAACATCAGAATTTGTGTACTAACATTAGTACTTATAAGATTCGATTTCGAGCAAATTTATCCTCTCTTGATACAAATTCTCATTCTAAGTGTTAAGAAAAGAAAGTTCTAAATTACCTTTTGTTCCCCATCATTACCAAAGATTGATTAGGCAAATTTTTAGAGTAAAAGTTCCCAAGCCACTGCTGCACTTCACATTCACATCAAGGCTTATAGGGATTTGTGTTTTTCTTCAAATAAGGTTTCTCTCAGGTGTGAGAGAATATCTCTTACCGTAGAGATTGGTGTTGTAATTTGCAAGGACTTACAAATTAGTCAGGTATGATTTGTAATTAGTTTCAAAATCATAGTGAAAATCTCAAATGGGATTTTCTTGGGGACTGGATGTACACTAGGGTGGTGGAACCAGTTTAAAATTTTTTGTTTGTGATTGTTCATTTTCTAAGATTGTTGTTCATTGTTCTTGTAAGTTATAATTCATCTTGTAAAATTTTAAATAATACTATTCACCCCCCTATAGTGTTTAGTGTGTGCTTTCGCTGATCCTACAATTGGTATCAGAGCAAGGATTACAATAACGACAAATACATCATAATTTAAAGAGGGTCACTCCACACAACGACCACCACTATTCGATGGTACAAATTACAACTACTGGAAATACCGGATGAAGATCTACATCCAATCACTTGGCTATGATCTTTGGAACATCGTTGAGATAAAATTCACAAAGCCAACCACTCCATACACCAAATGGACACTTTCTTAAAGAACAAATGTGAATCTGGACTCCAAGGCAATGAATGCGCTGTTTTATGACAAGAACGAGTTCAATCACGTGTCTACCTCTACATCTGCACATCAAATTTGGCATACTCTTGAGGTTACACATGAAGGAACTAACAAGGTTAAAGAATTAAAATTTTATGGTCTTGTTCACAGGTTTGAACTATTCAAGATGAAAGACAAGGAGACCATCACAGAAATGTTCAAAAGATTTACAGATATCACAAACTCCTTGATTGCACTAGGCAAAGTCTACAATTAAGTTGAAATGGTGAGAAAAATCCTAAGAGCACTCACTCCAGATTGGGAGAAGAAGACTACGGCAATTGAGGAGGCCAACGATCTTTCCACTCTCACCGTAGAAAGCCTCATCTGAAATCTCATGGCCTATGAAGTTCAACTCGAGGATAGAAAGAAGGATGAAGAACCAAAGAACAAGAAAATTCTTTCCTTCAGTGCATCCTAGGACACCGAAGAATCTGAAGAAGATGATGAAAATATTGCATTAATAACAAAGAAATTCAAATGATTTTTAAAGAAAGGTAAGTATAAATCAAATAAGTTTAAGAATACTAATGATTCTTCTTTGTGTTTCAACTTCAATAAACCAGGACATATAAAGAAGGATTGCCTACTTCTTAAGTCAAAATCAAAGTCCACCAACTTCACTAGCTTCAACGACTTCAAGAAGAAGAAGAAAAAGGCTTTGGCAGTGACATGGGATGACAGTGATGCATCCTCTTCGGAAGAAGAAGAAGAATAGAAAGAAGAATCTGCTCACATGTGCTTTATAGCACACGAAAATGAAGTAATTGAATCATTAGATAATGAAGAGTTATTTGAAGTATTTAATTAACTTTATGTTAAATTTAAGGATTTGAATTCTAATTATAAGATTTTGAAAAATGAAAATGAGAAATTAAACTTAGAATTAGTCTCTTCAAATTCCTCACAAGTTGAAGAATTGAAGGAACTAAATGATAAGTTATTTGCTGAAAATAGATTATTGACTGATAATAATATTTATCTCAAATCTGAATGTGATATCATGAAAACTCATATTTTAGATTTAGATAAAAATATGGTTTCACTAAATTTAAATATGAAGAGTTATCTTTAAATGTTAACAAGTTTAACAAAGGAAAAGAAGAATTGACTGATTTATTATCTTTTTAAAAGTCTTCTAATTAAAAGTTTGGGTTGGAATATGTTCGTAAGAAGAATGAATATGTTCTAGGACACATCATGCATCATCTTCTATTACTAAAGATGTTAGAAAATTCTATGCACCTTTATCTATGAATACTCATGTTAAGAATAATCATGGTTTCTCATATTCTAGAAATGATTCTCATACATTATCTTTTAAATATCTTTGCATAAAAAATCTATGTTTATTTGGGTGCCTAAAGATACTTGCTTGCATGATAGAGATGTTTACATTTCAGATTTTAAGATAAATGCATGTAATTCTTCTAATTATGTTTATGTTAATAAGGGAAAACCAAATTCCAAGTGGATTTGGACTCCTAAGGGCTAATCCCAAGGACCCAACATAAAAGGATACCAATGTTTGCATATCTATATTTCAGGTATCTCGAAAAGAGAAATGGATACTAGATAGTGGATATTCCAAGCATATGACGGGAAACTTGAATATGTTGTCTTTGGTGTAAAACAAGAAAGGTGGAACAGTCACATTTGGAGATAACAATAAGGGTAACGTTATAGGTATTTGAACGGTAGGTAATCCACATAAGACTTTAATAGATAATGTTTTATTAGTAGAAGGTCTTAAACATAATTTGATTAGCATTAGTCAATTATGTGATAAAGGTTTTAAAATTATTTTTGAAAAAGATACATGCTTGATTTATGATTCATATTTGAATAATATCTTGTTTAGAGGCATTAGAAAGAACAATATCTTTGTTTTATCCATGAACTTTGTTTCTAATGAATTTTGTTTAGTTGCATCCAATATTGATACATTACTTTGGCATAAACAATTTGGGCGCGTGAATATGAAAAACATTTCACGC